GCCTGGACGCCGACATCGGCCGCTCCAAAGCAGCGGTGGTGGAGCAGCAGCTGCGTGCGGGGTGAGCGCCCACCACCACCCCACAGCCCCCACCCCACTGCCACCTCCCTATGGGTTTTGGTTATGGGGTCACCGCTCACTATCACCCCATGACCCCCAACTCACACCAATGTCTTTCTATAGGGTTTGGCTACGGGGTCCCCACTCATTGCCGCCCCACGTCCCTCACCCCATACCAACAGTTTTCTATGGGGTTTGGTTATGGGGTTACTGCTCAGCGCCACCCCACGTCCCTCACCCCACACCAACACTTTTCTATGGGCTTTGGTTATGGGGTCACTGCTCGGCACTACGCCATGTCCCCTGCCCCACACCAACACCTTTCTATGGGCTTTGGTTATGGGGTCACCGCTCACTGCCACCCCCATGTCCATTGCCACCCCCTGGTGTTCCCCATCCCATTCACTCAGCTTCCTATAGGGTTTGGCTATAGGATCACCGCTCAGCGCCACCCCACGTCCCCTACCCCACACCAATACCTTTCTATAGGGTTTGGCTACGGGGTCCCCACTCATTGCCACCCCACGTTCCTCACCCCACACCAACACCTTTCTATGGGCTTTGGTTATGGGGTTACTGCTCAGCGCCACCCCACGTCCCTCACCCCACACCAACACTTTTCTATGGGCTTTGGTTATGGGGTCACTGCTTGGCACTACGCCATGTCCCCTGCCCCACACCAACATTTTCTATGGGCTTTGGTTATGGGGTCACTGCTCACTGCCACCCCCATGTCCATTGCCACCCCCTGGTGTTCCCCATCCCATTCACTCAGTTTCCTATAGGGTTTGGCTATGGGATCACCGCTCAGCGCCACCCCACGTCCCCTACCCCACACCAATACCTTTCTATAGGCTTTGGTTATGGGGTCACTGCTCGGCACCATCCCATGTCCCCTGCCCCACACCAACACTTTTCTATGGGCTTTGGTTATGGGGTCACCGCTCACTGCCACCCCCATGTCCATTGTCACCCCCTCGCGTCCCCCATCCCACTCCCATTTTCCTATGGTGTTTGCTTATGGGGTCACTGCTCAGCACTGCCCCATGTCCCTCACCACACACCAACACCTTTCTATGGGATTTGGGTCTGGGGTCACCGCTCACTGCCACCCCCTGTGTCTGCTGTCACCCCCCT